TTTTATTATCATATAATTTTCATTACTGCAATAGGCAAAGCCCCGTAATAATAATAATAATATTGTAATAATGCAATGTAGACATTTAGAGTTGTTCTTTTGGTGAAATATGACTAACTGTAATCAAAATAAAGACAGAAGAAATTATGTAACTGTACACATTAACAATATCATCATAATTATTTAATTATTAAGGTTACTATATAGGATATAAAACTGTTTTGGTTAACTAGGTTAGTATTTAGATGAACTAATTTATTAATATTTTTAATCAGGTTAACAACATAATTAATATTTAGTTTAACCATAATGATTGATTTTAACAGCCTTTTATAGCACTTTACACAATAAAAAAATCATCTATGTTATTATTATATAGGTTAACTAGTTCCATTCTTATTTAGGTTAACCAAGTATAAACTAGTTGTTATATCTTCCACAAGTATTTACATACGTTGTTTCTCTTTAAAATGTTTTTTAAAATATTTTGCTGTTGCATTATTGTTATTAAGCTGGAGTTAGTGAAAATATGTCAGAACACTTTTCTAATAAATGACCCTCAATCAAGACAAATATTATAAAGATTGTAATCAAAAAAATTGTGTTATTGTATTATTATTTTTTCTGGTTGCCTGTCAAATCTCAAATTTATTGTCTTCTTAACAATGAAGATATCAAATATCTTGTAGTATCCATCTTTACATTGGGATTTTGATCTTTGTTATGACTGCTATCAAAACCAGTAAAAGTGTGTACTTCCGTTTACTTTCATTTAACAAGTATATACAGATAATGTACTGAATCAATAAACAGCAATTTGGGGGATTCCCCATTTCACTGATTGTATTAACCTAACAAGGAAATGTAGTGCATTCTGTCTCTATCAGTGTCTTATACTGTAGTATGAAGTCCTGGAATCAAGGGTTTGCATATTCACAAAGGGTAAAATTATGTAATGCACTATCCATCCATCAATCAATCAATCAATCAAAATCACATAATATACCATAAATGCTCAAATAAGCGCCGCTCTCGATTAAGTGCCGCTCTCAAATAAGAGCCGCTCTAGAATAAGCGCTGCACCAAATGTGATTTCTTTCTAAAGCGCTTATTTGAATTAATAAGCGCCTGTGTGCAATGAAACACCTTAGAAACAGGGTAATAAATACAATGAAGCCTATCCAGTGTTAAATGAATAAATAACACAATGAAGACACAAGCATATCTTTGTAAACGTTTATTTACGATGATAGGCCTACCGAACTTAAGCCCCCCCCCATCGGCCAAAGCTCGTTGGGCAGTCAGACCGAAAAAAAAAAAGGCTTAGTTTTCCAATCCCAACCATCTAGAAGTCCCTATTTTTTTTTTAAATATCGTTTTGGGAGGAGGGAC